CCCCAAAGGAGTCCTCTCCCTGCCTTCCCCAGTGTGTATATCCTTAAAATAACTACCGGGGTTGTGGCTGCTCTCAGTCACTGCTGAGCCAGTGCTGGCACTCTGGGGTGTTTAATCTCTTCTTGTAGGTCTGACTCCCTCTGTGCACTGGATACTCAGATCCCCTGACCAAGGTGGCCCAGAGCTCCCTCTCATCCAAAAAGGAAGCTGCAAATCCAGCCAGGAGATTGTTTCACACGTGTGATCAAGTCTGGACGCAGGGGCAGGCTGGGAGGGGAGGGAAGAGGAGGCTGAGTTGGGCTTGTGAATTGTTGCTGGGAACAAAAATGTGACAACCAGAGCAGCAAGACCTGGGCTCAGGGGAAAGCACTGGCTCTGGAGGATCCTGGTGGGGCTGTGCCATGAGGAGGGAGCTGTTCCTCCTGCTCTCCCACAGCCGCTGCCTGCACTGGCCACGGGCAGAGAGCGGGTTTGCTGAGGGTGCACCAGCATCTTTCCCCCCCTCCCTTATGCACCAGAGGTCATGGGCTCCCAGCTCTCTCCCACCTCTCCTGCTGGAGAGCGTTGCCTTCCCGATGGAGCAGCACTGCCAGTAAGTCATTCCCTTGACCTGTGCATTCCAGACACGTTCGAGATAGTGGAGCTGATAGCGGGATCGTGTTGGAACATCACACACCGAATTCCTTTGCCTTTTTTCTTAATTCCATTGTGTCTGGAGCTCCTGGAGCCTCATCCACACCCTGCAAAAGCTGGTGGAAAGCCTCCAGTGGGCTGGCTTCGATGGGCTCTGGGCAGGCTGGTGCTGAAGTTGCTTCCCTACTTCCAGCGTGCCAAAATATCCACACTCATCCGCCCAGCTGCTCGGATAGAACCAGAGATGTTTGTGGCTCAGAGGCAGTGTCCTAAGCTGTGCATGGCCCCTGATCATCTTCAGGCCATGGCTGTTGGACAGGAACTTCTGTGGGATATGAAGAAGTGCCAGAGAGGATTTGAAGAGTGGGCTTGTAGTCTATAGATGCTCCTGAAGAATTTTCCCTTGTCTTTACAACCATCTCTACCCCAAAGAGCTTCAGGCAGCAACCAGCAAAGGAGAACCTGCCTCCTGCCACATCAATTATTCCCATCCTCCTTGTTCAGTTTAGGATCAGGCAAAGCATTTCAGCTCTCCAGTGGCCATGCTCCAGCTGCAAGATCTAATGAGTAACTGGAACCAGTTCCACGTGGCCATATCCCACTGGCTGAGCACTGGGATCCAGTTTGCTGTGGGTGACTGCTGGCCAGCCATCCATGGGAGCAAGAGCAGCTCCCCTCAGCTGTGAACATCTCCAGCCTTTCCCTCGCCTGCTGTTTGCTCCCTGAAGCAGCAGCAAGTCCCTGGCTGTGGTTTGGACCTCCCTGTGCCTGTGTCAGAGACCCCCCTGCCTGCACAGCCTGGGGGTTTGTCCATGTCCCCCCGGCTCCAGGGGCTCTGTGCAGGCCTGGATGGTTGCCCCACACCGTGGGCTCGAGCCCCCACATCCCTTCGCAGCCCAGCCACGGGAGGCCAAAGACCCCATTAACACTTCTGCGGGTCTGCCACACGTGACAGCGTCCGGCGGGGAGGGAGCCCTGCTCTGCCACCAACCCGACTTGAGAAAAATCCTAATTATCCATCGGTTACCAGCTGGCCGGTGCGGCGAGGGGCTGCGGCGAGGAAAGCGCCGCGATCGGCTGCGGCGGCAGCGTGTCCGGGCAGCTCCGGGCTCCCGGAGCCCGACGGCTCCCGGCAGGCAGGCAGGATGCCGGCGTGCCCCGTCTTGCCGCAACTCCCGGTCCTCCTCCCAGCCCCGCCGGAGCAGCCTACCAGAGGGGGGCTTCCAACCTACGGGGAAAACCTTATTTTCGGCATCTGGCCGTTGCTCCCTGCGATAAGAAGGCCATTAAAAATGAAAAGGGAGGTGGCAGCAGCCTGGAGGGCTTCCCACGGCACGGAACAGAGCCGCTGCTTCGGTCCGGAGCTGGTGGGTGATGTGTGGTGCTCAGAGCCCAGCCCGGGGGTTGGGACATCCAGGGTCACCCACCACTGCCCAGTGTCCCTCTGCAAGGACAGAGCTTAGCAACGTGAGCCCCAAACCCTGTCCCAAGGCTTTGCCCCTTCTCCATTCACCCCTTTCTAAAATTAGAAAATCAGCATTTAGAGGCAAGAGAGAGCAGCTGATGATGCTCTGGGCCCATTCTCCACACTGCTGCCCCCAGACCCCTTCCTTCCTCTTCCTGCATTGAGCCAAGGGTGTCTGCTAAAGCAAAGCTTATCTCTCAGGAGATATGCAGACTCCTCATTTGAATCCTTCAGGAGCTGGAGAATCCACTGCATTCCTTGGTAAATTGTTCCTATGTTTAATTATCCTCACTGCTAAAAAAATTCCACCTTGTTTGTAGTCTGAATTTGCCTGGCTTCACCTTCCAAGTGCAGGATTTTATTATATTTTTTTCTGTTAGATTAAGGATCTCATTATATCTTTTTCTGTTTGATTAAGGAGTTGGCTGCTATGAGGAACCATCTCCTGGGCACACCACGATCAAGCCACCCTTGCTCTTCTCAGGGAGACCTTCCTTGCAGAACACTTCCCTGGTATTGCCCCACAAGGCATCTGCACCAAATTTTTTATCTTCTTTGCAATCTCCCTCCCAAACAATTTCTGTTTTGTCAACAGAGGGTTTGAAGTGTGGACAGGAGCATCAGGCTTGTGGTCAAAGCTTGGTGTAAACTGATCAACCACCCTGGCATAAACCATCTGGTGCAGTGAACCCCAGGGTATCCAAAAGCCACAAGGCTTCCCCAGACAGGGCTGAACCAGGCTGGGCTGTTCCCTCTGACGTGCTGGCCCAGCCCACACGTGTCCTGCAGTGCTGCTGCCCTTTGTGTGACTGTGCTGGCAGACATCCCTGCCTGTCCCCAGCCCTCCTGACTGCTACACGTGTGTGCTCAGCTCCTGTGCAGGGTCACAAATCCGTGTTGATTCACTGCTAACAGAGGACACATTTATTTTGCTGAGCTCCTTTCCCCATTTTACCGGGACAGCCTCGGGTGTGACAGTGGCACTGCAGAGCTCACATCAAGTGGGAGGAAGGCAGTGGCCTCATCTTCCAGCAATAAATGTGCCTGTGACAGCCCCAGCCAGGAGGACATGCAGTGACACCAGCTGTCACCGCAGCAGGACTGTTCCTCATGTGGCACCTCGGAGAGACAGACCCACTGCATCCACACCAGCAGTGCTGCAGGAACCCCTGTTTCAAATGAAACATCCCCCATGCTCTCAGGGTGCCAACCCACTGCTGGTCTCTGCAAGGCTCAGCTCCAGTGCAGTGAACTGTGGGCTGCTGGGTTCTGACCTTGCAGCCATCCTGCTCTGGGGGGATGCAGCCACCCCAGTGTCATGGTTCAGGGGGCCACACACCTCTGACTGCCTGCCCTGACCGCCCATAAAGGCTTGGGAAGAACAGCCATCCTGTAACTGATGGGAGTAATCCCCCAGTAGGGATAGGATCGGTCTGGAGTCACATCATCCTGCCCCGAGGACCTCCAGTTTATGCAGTTCCTAATGAAATGCATCCCTGAGCAACATCCCGCAAGGAAAGAGAGTGGAAAGAGTGGAGACTTAACCACCCCTACGAGGGCAGGTCGTGTTTAACCACGGTGCTGTCCCAAGCCTCTGATCTGTGTGACTCAGCTGTGCAGCTCCAGCCACCGGCCGCAGGGAAGCTGCTGGACTGCTCCAGCCAGGAATTCGGCGGCGTTCAATTCGGCTGGTGAGGGTGCAGGAGCCCGTCGCCTCCTGCACCCTCACCAGGACACACCGGGAGCATCCCACCGTGCAGCAGCACCCCCCGGCTGCTGCCCGGGTCTCCCTGCACGACAGCATCCAAGGATGCTTTCTGTCTCCCGTGGGAAGGACTGTCTTGGCAATTAAACACGTCACCTCCCGAAAACGAAGGTCATCATCACTCCTGGGGCTGACACATCGCTCCTGGGCTGCTCTGCCCGTTCCATGGCAATGTCAAACCGCAGCCCTGGAGGAAACCCTCTCTGTTCCCATGGGATGTCAGTTACCCCAGCCCAGCCTTCCTGCTCAATCAGTGTTTCCCGGAGGAGAAAACCCTCCCGGCTCCAGCGCGCTGCTGCGCGGCTCTCCGGGCGCTCCGGGGACACTCACCCGCTGCGGGAGCGCCTCCGGCACTGCCCGCAAGCGCCGCTTTCCTGAACAGCAGGGACAGCGCTGCGCTGAGCCAGGGACGCGAAGTCAGGACCTTTCTCCACAAAACGCACAGCAGCCCCTGCACGCTTTCCCCTGTCACCGGGTCCCTGCTCCGCGGAGCTCTCCTGTGCCCGGCGGCAGGAGCGCGCTCGGAGCGGCCGAGGACCAAACCCACATCCCGGCTCCCGAGGAGACGAGCAGACGGCACGATGCGATCTTGATTAAAAACCCACCGTGGTTAAAATCCTACTCTGCCGTTTGCCGTGACTTCTAGAGAGTAAGCTACTCCTCTGATACGAGGTGGAAAAGGATTGTAAATGACAAGCGGGAATTTATGGCAAAGCTGGGAACGGCGCTGGGAGATGCGAGCAAAGGTCCCTCTCACCCACAGCCTCGCCTCTGACAGCACTGGCTGGCAAAGGTTTGGGAAGCACCGGGAGAACAAGGCAGGTACTTCCCCAGGACATTTCTTTTGGGGACATTCACCTGCAGGTCAGGGAATTGCAGTGAGAAAAATGACATTGTAGCCGCTGTGTTTCACAGCTCTTTGGGAGAAACCCCCTGAAAAGCAAGCACAGATGTTTCCTGCATGTTTTGCTTCCCAGGACCACCCGTGCAGGTGAAGTCCCCATGGCTGGTGGCCGTGTCCCACAGCTGCCCTGCCAAGCGTCCCCACCACCGAGGTGCTGGTTGGTTGGTGGCGGTGAGGACGCTGTGGGTGGTGGTGAGCATCTCCCTAGGGATGGTAGAAGACATGCAACTTACTGTCCAGGTGGCTGATTTGGCGGTGCTGGATTGCTGGAAGGTCACCTCGAAGTGGTGTGGGCCGGGGTAGTCGGTGTTGGAGGGGATGACGGGAGCCGGGGACATGGCGTCGAAGGTAGAGCTGGGCTGCGAGTAGGGAGAATGCGTTGGGACATTGGAGGTGTGCTCGGAGCTGTAGGGGCTGGTGGAGGCTGCTCTGCTGCCGATGCTCTGATCCATGCTGTTGTTCAGCAAATTGAACTGGGACTGGAGGAAGGGAAAAGGGGAGGAGGGAAAAAAGAAAACACCAGCCAGTTTAGAGACAGGGAAACCTCAGCCACCCTTCTCCAGGGCTGGGGTGTCCTGTTACAGCCTCCTTAAAGGGCCAGCATGCGGGAGGGGAGCCAAAAGAGCTGGTCTGGGTGGCTTGGGTTTTCCAACAGGTCACCACTCGTGTGAGGGATCAACTCCAGCATGTGGGAGGGGAGCCAAAAGAGCTGGTCTGGGTGGCTTGGGTTTTCCAACAGGTCACCACTCGTGTGAGGGATCAACTCCAGTACTTAAATCATCCCCCTTGATCTGCTCCATCATCACTGGAGGCAGTGGGGTGCCACAATCCCAGATCTCCAGCACACCTGCCGAGGGAAAGCCACTGTTCTGACAGTGGGGAGAGGGCAGGGATGTTCTGGGGCTCGCTCAGGTGTGGGAGATGTCCCGCTGTGGGCAGGGAGTGACAGCCCTGTCCTGCACACAGGGCTCTGCTCCACAGTGGCCCTTCCAGCAGCCAGAGTGTCACAGCTCAGTGAAGCTGCCCTGGCAAGGTGACCAGCAGTCCCTGGCAATGGCATTGCTCCGTCGTGACAGCAGTCCTGGGTGTCTGACCCGTTTTCTGACCTGCCCCTCTTGCATTCACTGGTCAAGGACAGACACCCACACACAAATCCTGGGAGTGCTTCTCTGAGCCAGCCCGCCCTGAGCAGTGGTTTGTAGCTTGTTTCCCAGTGGGATGTTTGCTCTCAGTGTCTGATGCAGCTCTAATTTGGGGAAAACCTCAAACCTCCGAAGCGCGTGGCTGCGATGCAGCCGCTGCAGGAAGGGCACAGGGCAAACAGACCCATTTAGGCACGTCCTGGCTCCTATTCCAGACCCGCTGGACCAAATCCTGACTTTTTACAATTTTTTCCTTATTCGTCTTCTGACCAGTTACTGTCAGATACTTCCAGTGAGAGCTGGCAGCTCCTTTACCCTCAGGCACAGGCTAAGTACAGTGACATTCCCCAGAACTGTGTGGCTAAGGTGGCCTTAATATTTCACCAGAAAATCAGACCCAAATACAACTGTTTCTCAAAGCAATTAGGGTGGTTTTTTTGCCCAGAAACCTGGAATTCCCAAGTTGGTCAGGGCTTGCTCTCACCCTGGCAGCCCCAGAGGCCAGTGCTGTGGTGGCCACTGGGGCTGTGCCGGTGACCACACGCAGTGGCCAGTGGGTCACTGTGTGCTGTCCTGGCTGCCACACCAGAGCACGGACAAGGTCCCCCTCGACTGCCCCCATGCCCCAGCAGGACTGTCCCTGTTCCCAGCACCCGCTGGGGCAGCTCTGGGAAGCCAAGAGCTCTGGAAGCAGCCGTGGGCACAGCCAGCAGGCTCAGCCTTCCCCAAAGGGCTGCAAGGCTCACGGCTCAGGAATCAAGAGACGTGTTTTAACTTGGGATCCCAACCTCACCCAACCGTCTACAATGTGGAATGGTTTAAAGGCAATCATCCTTCTCCAGGGAAGTTCTCCTGTTGCCTGCATCTCTCACAAGGTCGTTGGAGCCTGTGACTAACTGGAGGAATGCTGAACAAGATCTGGCTTGCTTTTACACATCCAGCCATTTTCTCCCTAAAATATGTGCCTAAACCCCTCTATTCCTACTCACAGCTCTATAAATAGCCCAGCCAAACACAAGCCAAGCTTTCCATAATCCCGGGCTTCACCTGGAGAAAAAATCTGGAAAAAACAGGCATGTGGAAAGCCCTTGCCTTCCAGCTGGGAATTGCTGGGCAGCAGCCTTGGGGACTGTGGGCAGGGCAGCACTGGCATGGTGGCACAGGCAAAGCTCAGGCATCAACCAGGAGAGCAGCAGCAAGGGAGAAGGGATTGCTGCTGGACAGGGCTGATCTACAGCCCAGATAATCCAGGGGTATCAGGACTGAGCTGTTTTTCTCTTGTGCTTAGAGCCAGGACTGTGTGTGGCTGAAGCCTGCAGCCATAAATGGGCAGGGGAGTGGGGACCCTCCACTGAGCAGAGCATCCTGACCTCTGCATGGGAGAGAACTTCCCCTGGGAAAAATGGTGAGATATGAGACCCAGGGTACCACCTCTGCCAGCCAGGTGACACAGCTTCCCGACCACCAGGGCTTTGGGAATCCACTGGCAGAGAGACCCAGTCAGGTGCAGGGGGAAAATGACCAACTTGTTGTTCAAAATTGACAAAATTATGGAAACATTCCCTTAAAAGACAAATCAAAGGCAAGTGTGTTTATGTGTATGTGTGTAAATATGTTCATACACACACATGTTTGTACACACACACACACACACACACAACTGCAGCAACGACCTCCCAAGGAACAACCCCAACAATCCCGGGACACACGGCTTGGTAGCAACACACACAAGGTAAAAAAGAGGAATGAAGTAATTTCCTTCTATCTCCGACTGCATCTGTGCCTGTGCCGGACTGTTGTGAATGTCAGAGACAGACACAGACCCCGAAGGAAACAACCTCGGCACCCAAGGACAGGGCTGAAAGCACATCACCTGCAGCACAGGTACCACTTCACCCGCTCTGCCCTCCCAGGGCTTTCCAGCAGGGAAGGGAAGCCTGCCTGGGGCCGTGGGCTCGGCTGAGGAAATCCCCAGTGGACAGCAAACCGGTGCTGGGGTGTCCAGCACTGCAGGTATTCCTGGGGTGGATGCTCCAGCCAACACCCCCCCAAACTGTGCACATGGATGAGGAGCCTGCACTCCTTTCACCCAAGGTTTAAATCACACCCTGGGCTCTGCCAGCACCGGATCAGGCAAAGCCAGAGGACCAGTGACCGAGCTGCCGAGGCTGCAGCATCCTGCACTGACACGGATGGGGGCTCAGGAGCAGCCCCAGCTCATCCTTGCAACCGTGGGCTGGGGACAGGCTCCCACTGGGACAACCCCTGGAGCATCCTGGGCCACAGCACAAGGGCTGGGCTGGCAGAGCTGGAGAGGGTGCCCCAGTAGTGGGGGATAATCCCAGTAAAGCAGCAAGGCAAACCCCGTCCCTAAGGAGCAGCACCTACCGTGGTGTAATGCTGCATCGGGTCGCTGACGTACAGCATTTTAGTTGTCTTGGGGTTCACGGAGCGCGGGGAACCGTCCTGCCCCGGGAGTCATGGGGTCGGGGTGGCGATGGAGGAGGCCGGGGTGGGATGGTGGGTGGAAGGGGCAGTGTGGGAGCAGGGCCGGGGCGGGCAGCGCCAGGGATGCTGCGCTGGCCACCCGTGTGCCGCCGTCTGTTGGCTCTTTGGCTTTTTTCATCTCCCTTAGTTCTGTCAACTCGCTGCATCCAACAACAAAACGGGGCCCACCCCTTCCATCCCTCATGACTATTCATTAAAGCACAGGGCAGGCCCCAGCTTGCCCAGTGATGGACTGGGCGATACCAACCATTCCCACTGCAGGGAGAGCGGGGGTCCAGCTCCACCATCAAACCCACCCTGATCCCACTCCTGAAAGCTTCTTCCAGCCACATGGGGCTGGAAACCTGCTTGGCTGGCACCTGTCACCAGCACACCGATGTGGCCGTGCTTGCAATGGCCAGATGATGCAGTGACTCTGTGAGAGCTCCGTGTCTCAGTGATATGGAGTTATCCCTGCCTAGATGGATAGATATGGATAGGTGTGGATGGATGGATGGATGGATGGATGGATGGATGGATGGA